GCTCCAGAGATTTCTTCGTGCTGTAATGCATGTCAGTTGCTCCTTCCCCTCCCCGCCTTTTTTTTTGAGACAGAGTCTCACTCTGTTGCCCAGCCTGGAGTGCAGTGGCATGATCTCAGTTCACTGCAGCCTCAACCTCCCTGGCTCAAGCCATTTTCCCACCTCAGCCCCCCAGATAGCTGGGACTACGGGCACATGCCAACCTGCCTCGCTAATTTTTGTACTTTTTTTTTGTAGAGACAGGGTTTCACCCTGTTGCCTATGCTGGTCCTGAACTCCTGGACTCAAGCAGTCCTTCCGTCTTGGCCTCCCAAAGTGCTGATACTAAAAGCTCGAGCCGCCATGCCCGACCCCTCATTTCTTTTTTAATTGCCGAATGCTATGGATAAACCTCAGTTTACGTGTTCTCCTGCTGATGAGCATCTGAGCTATTAGTGGGTTTTGCCTATGATGAGTAAAGCAGCTATGAACGACCACGCCCGGCTGCCACATCTTCACATTTCCGAGCTCTTGGTGTCAGTTTGCCATTTTGCCCCCACATCCCGGGTCCTCCCCCTTTCTGCTAATGCATTTAAAGGGAGAAGGGATAGGTATTTATAAAGCACCTACTGTGTGCCAGCCTCTCTTCTGGGCCCCTCATCTAGCCCACTTGATCTTCATGGACACTTTATGAAGTAGGCACTATTGCCTCCGATGACGAGAAGGGGAAATTCAGTCTCCTGGGGGTTATGTCACTTGCCAGGATCATGAGGTCCAGTGCCCTACCCCCTTACTATTACGTATATGCTCTGCAGAGCAGCCCATCGACACTTTCTGGAAGCTGATTAGAAATGCAGAATCTTGGCCATGCATGGTTACTTCCACCTGTGATTCTAGCACTTTGGGAGGCTGAGGCAGGTGGGTCACCTGAGGTAAGGAGTTCGAGACCAGCCTGACCAATATGGTGAAACCCCACCTCTACTAAAAATACAAAAAATTAGCTAGGTGTGGTGATGCGCACCTGAAATTCCAGCCACTCGGGGAGCTTGAACCCAGGAAGTGGGGGTTGGTAGTGAGCCGAGATCGCGCCACAGTGTTCCAGCCTGGGTGACAGAGCAAGACTCCATCTCAAAAAAAAACAAATAAAATGCAGAACCTTAGACTCCGTTTCACTACAGAGTCAGAATCTGTGTTTTATCATAATACTTCACCAGTTAAGTGGATGCATAGTCAAGTTTGGGAAGCCCTGGGCTAGACCACAGTCAAGGACCTCTCTGGTTCATAGCCACATCTTTGGCTTCCTCAATATGTGTGCCTAACACATCGTAGGTACTTAAACGTGAATGGGATAGCCAATGGAGTATACAGCAGTGAAAACGAAGCTGACACCTTTGATAAATCGGTTGGATGCCCAAGGGCAGAGGGGACCTGCCTCTGTGCCCAGACAGCAACCTCCACTGCACCAAGAACCACCCCCCTCCCGCCTCTTCTTCCCTGGGTGCAGCCACCAAGCCTCCCAGTACAGACTGACGTTGTCTTCCTAGGCACAGGTCTGGAAAGCAGAATGGGTGAGCAGAATGGATGGATGAAGGAAAGCCAAGGGGCAGAAGGGCTCTGGGGAGGGGGCTGCAGTCTCAGCCAACCCCGTCAGTTGTCCCATGATGAATGCTGATCATTGTCACTTTGAGTCACTAGCTCCATTACAGAGCTGCCTTGGGCATCAAGGGAGACTCTGGGAGAGCTCCCAGGGCTATGAAAACCCTCTGTCCTGCATTCTGAAGCTTCTGCATCTACTCTCCTGCAAGCTACTTCCCACCACTTGCCTCACAAATGGAATTTACCACCATGTGGCAGCTGAGAAGCTGGAGGGACCAGGCTCCTCTCCATGAAGATGCCTCTTAGAAGGCTTACTGCAAGGAGACGGGGAGGCTGAGTCCTCTGAGCTGTGGCCCTTATGCCCAAGGGAGCAAGAGTGACCCAGTGACCGTGGAGGTGGTTTCTAGCTTTTGAGGACTGGCGATGCTACGCACTGGATGTCATGGCTCACAGAAGCCAGGCTGTCATCAGCAGAATTAGGAAAAGGTCAAGGGTGCAAAGAAAGACAGACACATTTCCCCCAGCACTTCCCTGGGTGTGGGAAAGGTGTTGACTAAAGTTCTGAATTTCTAGGTTGAGGAAGAAAAGTGGAGGGAATGAGAAGCCCTATCACTATAAAAAAGTGAAGTTAAAATGATCACTCTATTTTATCCTATTCTAAATTATATATAAATTCAGACTACCTCAACAGAGGCCCAAATACCTCCACTTTAATGCTATATTCTTTTATTTATTTTTATTTTTGATGAGGTCTCACTCTGTCACCCAGGCTGGAGTGCAGTGGTGTGATCTCGACTCACTGCAGCCCCCACTTCCCAGGTTCAATCTCCTATCTCAGCCTCCCCTAGTCGCTGGGATTACAGGTGTGCACCACCACACCCAACTAATTGTTGCATTTTTAAAGTAGAGATGGGGTTTGGTTTCACCATGTTGGCCAGGCTGGTCTCGAACTCCTGACCTCAAGTGATCCACCCACCTTGGCCTCCCGAAGTGCTGGGATTACAGGCGTGAGCCACTGTACTTAGTCTTAATGCTGTATTCTATTCTTAATAGAAATGTGTACAAAACAGGGCAATATCTTGCTCAATCATTAAAAGAGATGTCTGTAAAACCACAGAGAGAGGGAGGGAGGGAGGGAGAGGGAGGCTCCCTTTTCATCTTATCATGCAGTCTCCCCAAAGTTTGTCTTTGTTTAGCGGTTCCTATTTCTTGCGTTTCTTATATTTAAGTTAGGTGGTGTCCTGTCTTAGTTTGCGATCCCTGCAAAGCAGAGCCTGAGAGGAGGGCTTGGATGTGGGAGGTGTGGTTGGAAGGAGAAGCAGGAAGCAGGAGAGAGAGGGGAGATGAGGAAGGAAAGCAGGCCTCCACCCTGTGGGGCATGTGCAGCTGGTTACCACCGGGGGAATCTGGGGCTCTATCCTGCAAGACACCCTCTGAGGAGCCCTGCAGAATGTGCCTGAGAATTGCCCCCCCTGAGGGATGGGGGCATTTATCCCTCAACTCCTGAACCCCTAGCAGAGGGCCATCCCTGGGGCTGTGGATGCCTTGAACGTGTTGGCTGCACCTGGTGGAGAACTGAACTGCTTCTGCGTCTTTGGAGAAGACCCTAAGGCAGAAAAGTTTTCTGGTTGCTTCTTGCCATGAGTATTAGTAGTAGCCTGTGTGGAACGGTGTGCCATGGCGATGCAGAGGTCGGCGGTGGTTCACGGGGTGAAATGCAGACAATCTCCCATTAGGCATCCGTGCTGAGGGTGTCAGCTGGGTCAGTGTGGAATCGTGGTTGGAAAAAGTGGGCTCTGGGGACAGACTGCCTGGGCTCGAATGTCAGCACCGCTTCGTGCTGCTGGAGCGCCTCTCTGAATTTCCGTTTCCTTATCTGCTCATTGAGAGTGACCACAGTGCCTCCATCCGGGGATGAACATTGGTTGGAGTAAGACACAGGAAGCAGCTGGGTGCGGTGGTTCACACCTGTAGTCCCAGCACTTTGGGAGGCCAAGGAGGGTGGATCACGAGGTCAGGTGTTCCAGATCAGCCTGACCAACAAGGTGAAAACCTGTCTCTACTAAAACTACAAAATTTAGCTGGGCGTGGTGGCACGTGCCTGTAATCCCAGCTACTGGGGCGGCTGAGGCAGGAGAATCATTTGAACCTGGGAGGTGGAAGTTGCAGTGAGCCGAGACTGTGCCACGAGACTCCATCTCAAAATAAAAAAAGACACAGGAAGTTCTCAGCATAGCCAGAAGCACAAAGGAGGTGCTGGGTGAGGCTTCCCTGGTGTCCCTATTGTCCAGACACGGGCTTTGCATTCTGATAACTTGCTGGTGGGAGAATGGGGCAGAGGTGGATATTCCTTCCTGGAAACCCAGGAAAGTTAGGAAATAAAGGAGAGAACATAAAAGGCAATTGCAGGCACCATCCACGTGACCCAGGAAGGATTTACCATTTCAGAGACTTACCCCTAGCTCACGTTACTGATTTGCTTGGAGCATGGGGTGCCCTCCCTGGGGCCCCTCTTCCTCTTCCTCCCTAAGTCTTCACCCATCCTCCCCTGCCCCAGAGCAGCGCCTCCACCAAGTCTCCTCGTTAACCATAAACACAAATCCTGTTATCTTCCTCTCCCGCAGCATTGCCCTTTGATTTAAGCCACCTTCCCTTCCCTTTTCATCAGCCCTGGGTCCCCCCTGTCGTACATCTTCTGGTTTATCTCCTTTCACGGGCTCTCCAGCTTGCCCTGCACCGATCAATGCGTGGGGGGAGATAGGCGGCCCGCCAGGCCTCCGGAGCCCGCTCTTCTTCTGGGGAGCCCGGACCAGTATTTCTTGTTAAGCTTCTGTCTGGCTGTGTTCGGTTTCTCATTAGCTTTCTGCCGGGGCGCAGTAGTATTTCTTGCTCCTCAGCTGCACCGCCTGGAGATGCCTAGTAATTCTTAAATGGCGAGGTGGAGAGGTGCATCTTTAGGACACTCTGGGTTCCATCTGGCTGTGGCTTGGAAAGGGGGAACATGAGGAAGTGGCCCTTGGTTGTCACGGGTGGATGAGTCTTGGCGGGTCCCTCAGTCACACCGTGCCTTGCTCAGCACTGTGGGTCAGCGCCTGTATCTGTGGCTGTCCTTGCCACCTTATGTCAATTTTGCATCCCAGTCATTAAATTGACTTTGACCTGGGCTCCTCAGAGCCAGCTTCTTCCCCATTTTGTCGCTGGGAAGACTCAGATGTGGGCCTGACTCACGTTCCTCACCTGCGAAATGAGATGTACGCTCTCTTTTTCCCTGACCTTATCCCTTTTATTTATTTAGCAAACACAAAACAGGTAAATAGTGTTCATTATGTGGCAGACAGTCTTCTGAGAACTTGACAGACGTGAACGCATTTAAATTCTCCTAGTCGCCCTGCGATAAAGATACAGCCATTGTCTCTGTTTTACAGATGAGCTACTTTGGCACCGAGAAGCTAAGCAACTCACTGAAGGTGGCACAGCCAGTAAACGGAAGAGTCGGGATTTGAACCCAGGTAGTTTGGCTCCTGAGCATATACTTTCTTAAGAGATGGTTTCTTTTGATGGTCCTGCGGTCTCCATAGAGCCCAAAATGCTGATAGAGGCGATTCTTGTTATTCATGCTAGTTACGCTCTACAAAGTCGCTGCAAGCATTGAATCATTGAAAACGGACCCATTGCTTCTAGATTATCAACCGATCAATACATAGCCAAGTTTTACGTGTGTTTCTGTTTAAAGACACCTTATTATTTATGGTTGGGTTATTAAATGTTGAACTCACGGCCAGAAGCACAGTAACTCATGCCTGAGTGAAGCTAACTGAACGCATGTATTTTCTGTGTAAGGCACATCACAACTTTCTTATGCTTCGGAACACGAAACACCCCTTCAACACCGTGCCCCTTTAAAGAGCAAAATCACCAAAAGCAACAAAACACCAAAATGTGAAAAAGATGGAAGTAAATAGACTGTGAAAAGGACTAGTTAACAGTATGAGAGCTGAAATAAGAGAGGCTTGCTGAAAACACGTGTGTCAGCGGCTTGCCTGTTTCGCTCCCCTGCCAGTGCTCATGAAAGAGTTGTGGGTATTGATTTGGGGTTTAGAAATAAATTTGACCAAGTAGGTGACTTTGCAAAAACAGAACCCCTGAATAATGATGATCGACTCTATCTTGCTTGAGTATTTCCCTGGTCAAACGCCTTCTGAGGCTCTCTCCTGCCTATATTAACTATAAACTTCACCTGTCTGTGTTTCGAAGGCTTTGGCAATCTTACCCCACTCCATCTATTTAAACTTATTTCTGGCTGGCTGCAGTGGCCCACACCTGTAATCCCAGCACTTTGGGAGGCTGAGGTAGGAAGATTGCTGGAGCCTAGGAGTTTGAGACCAGCCTGGGCAACATAGCAAGACCCCCGTCTCTACAAAAAATAAAAATTAGCTGGGCATGATGGAGCGGGCTGGTAGTCCCAGCTACTAGGGAGGCTGAGGTGGGAGGATCACTTGAGCCCAGGAGGTTGAGGCCGCAGTGAACTATGATTGTGCCTAGCGCTCTAGCCTGGACGACAGAGTGAGGCTCTGTCTCAAACAAAACCAAACCAAACCCCCTCATTTTCCATTAGCCCTTTTCCTGTGGGCTGGCGGCTCTTCTTCCTAACTCCTCTACAACCACCAGCTCCATCTTGGTCGCACCTGGATGTCTTTGCTCCTACTCTTTCTCCCCAGGCATGCCCTTCCTTCCCTCACTTATCTCCCAAGTTCTATAGTTTCAAGGTTGATCGAAGTTCTTATTGATTTCTGATTTTTCAAAATGCATTATTATTGTTTCCTTTAAGAGACAGACTCTCGCTACGTTGCCCAGGCTGGAATGCAGCAGCCATTCACAAGTACCGTCATGGCTCATTGCAGCCTCAATCCCCCCGGCCTCGAGTGATCCTCTGGCCTCAGCCTCCCGAGTAGCTGGGACTACAGAGGCGCACCACTGTGCCTAGTTCAAAGTTCTTTGTGCAGCTGATTTATCCCTTCTTGGGTGCCGTAGGCTCAAATCATCATGGAGGTTAATGTTTTAAAAAATACCTTTTTGTGATTCTCTGACAGGCAGCCCATGTGGGAGGAATTTTCCAGAGACCACTGTCTCATGAGCCTGTCTTGGAACTGGAGCCAGCCGAGTTACCCTGACCATGTTTGAATTGGGATATTGAGGAGGTTATGGTTAAAAGCGTATGATGGAAGACCATGTGTATATCGTATTGTGAGTGAGACTGGCTGGAGGAGTGTTTTAATTCTTCAGAAATACCAGCTGGCCTCTGTAAAGTAACATAGCACGGTGAGCCAAGCATAATGAGAGATCACTGAGGGCTCCCAGCAAGAATTGATTGTTTAGAGAAGAGATGTTGCTTTTTTTTTTTTTTAACCATTTTATTTTTAATTTTACTGCCTATGACAAGCTGCTTCTAAAAACCTCAGGGTGCGTGAGTGCAAAGACAGGAGAATGGTCTGCGAGTTCTACTTGGGTAGGGCTTGGGGCATCACGGGAGTGCTGGGACCCCTGTCTGGGATCCAGTTTAATCCTGATGACATCCCCATGCAGCAGATAACTCCAGGTAACCAGCTGCAGCTGTCCACATCACAGTCAGAGAGGCTGCTCCTATCTTGCCTGTTTTCCTACCTCTTCATCCTGAGGAAAAAGACCCATGATCTGAGTGCCCTGCTCTGAGACATAGGTGGGGAACAGGCAGGGATGGGAGGTGCACCCATTAAATATATGCCTGTTTTTTTTTTTTTTTTTGAGACAGGGTCTCTCTCTGTCACCCAGACTGGCGTGCAGCAGCACAATTGTGGTTCACTGCAGCCTCAGTCTTCGGGTTCTAGCCATCCTCCCCACTCAGTACCTGGATTTACAAGCACGCCACCATGCCCAGCTAATTTTTTCAATTTTTTTTTTTTTTTTAAGAGATGGGCTTTCACTCTTTTGCCCAGGCTGGTCTCCAACTTCTGGGCTCAAGTGATCCACCCGCCTTGGCCTCCCAGGTCCTAGGATTATAGGTGTGAGCCACTGCACCCGACCTTTTTGCCTTTTGAAAGTACCTGTTAATAGTATTCAATTGGGTTGAACCCTGCTAGGGACCAAGGTGAATTTGCATAAATTAGTCTATGCAGATTTGCATGCTATCAGCAAATTTGTAGTGCCCAGAATTTCAGAAATGGAAGGAAGATAAGGGGGGTGTCAAATGCAGCGTCTTTTTGTACCTGAAAAGAAACTGAAGTCTGGCTCAGGGAAGGTCACATAGCTAATTGTTATCATGGGGAGACAGACCCAGCGACATCACGGTGCCCCCGAGATTAGCACTGCCTCTCAAGCATGCCCATTTTCTGTCCCTAGCCCACTGGAACCCCTTAAAGTCAGTTTCTTGAGCTTGGGTGATAGCACGTGTGATGGAAAGTAGGCAGGTTTGACATTAAAGCTCCAGCCTAGCTCTGCACCACATCAGCTGTGTGACCTCGAGCAAGTCACTTAAAACCACTCTGAGCTTGGCATTTGTAAATGTGAAGCTAGCAATGCCTTCTTCACTGCCCTGCTGTGAAGAATAAGATATATTCCATAGATACGACCCATGTCATTTTTTTTTTTTTTTTCTGTAAAGAGTCTCGCTCTGTCGCCAGGCTGGAGTGCAGTGGCATGATCTCAGCTCCCTGCAACCTCCACCTCCGAAGTTCAAGCAATTCTTCTGCCTCAGCCTCCCGGGTAGCTGGGACTACAGGCACGTGCCACCATGCCCAGCTAAGTTTTGTATTCTTAGTAGAGACAGGGTTTCACCATATTGGCCAGGCTGGTCTTGAACTCCTGACCGTGTGATCTGCCCGCCTTGGCCTCCCAAAGTGTTGGGATTACAGCCCGGCCACGATCCATGTAATATTAAACTACCATTTACTGAATCTCCCCTATGGAAAGCACTTAGTAGGTGCTCAAAAACTCCCAGTCATTTCTTCCCTTCCCTTAATGTGTCACTGCATCCGGGTAATTTGTGCCCATATTGTGTGTTCCTTTGAGAAGTGCGTGTCGTGCTCTGCGCTAAAGTGACACTTACAGTGGCATTTCAAGCATTGTGGCAGGGTGCTGAGATGCTGATGGAGATATTTTAAGCTGGGGTGTGTGGGGGGCACTCTCGGGGCCTCTCACGCCCATCCTGAGCCCTCTCTGTGACCCAGCCTGACCCTGGCTTCTGTGCCGTTTTCATTCCAGCCAAGAATGTTCTGAAATGAAGCCAATGCCTGAAGGATCTAGGACGCCTCTGCCCTCTCTTACCCTGTCTCTGGGGATGCTTTAGCCACCAAGAATTTTCCTTATGGTTGCAAGATGATGAAAAAAACCACACGCTCAGATGCTTTTCTGAGGGTGACATTTTTTCACAGCCCCTCTCCCTTCTCCATAGATTGCCTGGGTTCCATCCCGCTCCAGCTTCAGCGCGCTCTGTGACTCTGGACAAGTCACTTCATCTCTCTAAGCCTTGTCTATAAAGTAGGGATGATACTTCTTCCCACTTCAGAGAGTCATTAGGGGATTAAACTGTGACACGTAGGTAGCCAAGGGTCCGGCACACCGTGACGACTCACTGAATATCAGCCATCACTGCAAACTAAGAAGGCAGGATTCCCATTGTGGAATTAACTTCCAGAAGGTAGACTGTCTTAAATATTGGGCAATGCCCTTTCCTTTTCTTGGCCTCAGTTTTTCCATCTGAAAAATGGGAGTAGGACAAGGGAACTGGGTCGCAGGCATTGACGTGACATTCTGTGGTTATTGGGGACGAAGGAGTTCAGGCCGCCTGCCCCTCCTTTGCCACCTGCAGGACTGTACACTCCAGCCATTGGACCTCATTGTTCTCACTCACTAGTGTGTCTTCAGCCCAAGCCCAGAGCTTCTGGCTAAGGGCTAACGCTTAAGAAATCCACGTGAATGGATGTAGGAGGTCTGCTCTGCTGTGTTCTAGCGGCTGAGTTTTTGCATACTGTTTTGTTTGAACAAAGAACCACATGGTTTATCTATCAGTCAGGGCCCAGCAGGAAACACACAACGCATATATAATTGGGATGATTTGAGGAGAGTTTAGTAAAGGAGTTGTTTACAAAGGTGTGGGCAGGGTGTGGGGAACCCACACAGGAGGGTGTAACTGGGGTCTAGTGTCATCATCACTCCTAGGCCAGATGAGGGAAGATTAAGAGTTACGGGGAGAGAGTCATCAGGGAGGCAAGGTCCTTGTCTGAGACCTTCAGCAAAAGGGTGCAGCCAAACCTCGGAGACCCTGGCAGGCAGGAGCAGGGGGAGTAAGTACCCTGACTCCATTTCCCCTTCCCCTGATTTTCTTCTGGGGCTCAAGTTGGCAGAACCAAATCAGAAGGGGGAGGGCAAGACAGTCTGTGGAAGTCCACATGGGGAGAAGGGTGTAGAGGCAAACTGGGGATTGTAGGGGGCACAAAAAGATGCCCATCACACATGGCCAGCACCCCCCCACCCCACCGCACCACACAGGACCGGAGAGCTGATCTCTACTTTCTAAGGGTCTTTCCAGGTTTGACCTGCACAGATTCTTCCATTTTAAATCAAGGCTAAAATATATCGAGGCTTACTGGGGTCTAGCGGCAGCTCGGAGTTATCAGTGGGTTGCGTAGTGCTTGCTGGTCTGGTACTAATGGTAAAATTTTGTTGCATTTAGGTCAAATCGTGCCTCAGTTCTAATGTCGTATTTTTGGGTGATGGGTCTCCTCTCTCTCTCTTTTCTAAAGGTGCAGGAGTATTCCTCCTGGCCTTTTGGGATGCTGACGGAGGAGCAGATATACTGCACCTCTGTCATGATATAAGGGCTGCTGCGGTGCACAGCTGTTTCCCAAGAAGCTACCGCCGGGGTGTAAAACTTCTCTCTGCATTGTCAGCGCTGGTGTCCGTGGATGTCTGCTGGCTTTTCCAAAACTCCTTATGGAACGGTGGTTCTCAAGTGATTTTGTCCCCCTCGTCCCAGGGGACGTTTGGCAATGTCTTGAGATGTTTTTGTGATTGAGCAGGGGCTACCAGCGTGTGCTGGGCAGAGGTCAGGGACGCTGCCCAACATCCTATGATGTACAGGCCAGTCTTCTCTACCACAGTGAATTATCCAGTCCACAACCTCCATAGCACCAATACTGAGAAACCCTTGTGAAGATGGAGCCTATCCATGGGGCATTTGGTGTCTCCCGCTTCCTGAATACTTGAATTCCCTCTGCAGACTCTTGGATGCCTGCAGTCATGGGGAGCTCACCACCTGTTTTGAAGCCAGGCAGATCTGGGCTCTTCTCGTATCTGTGTGACTCTGGACTTTCTCACAGGTGGAGCGGCTCCACCATCCCGAGCGTCAGTTTCCTCCAGTGCTGTGGGGTTAGCAGCAGCCCTGCCTCACAGATGCGTGAGGGTGAAATGAGAGGATGTGCCCGAGTTGGCTGGTGCAGCACATGTTGCAGGTACGCAGAGAGTGCTCCGTAAAGGCTCCCTGCTGAGTGCCCTGTCCCAGTCCATTTGCCCACCTTGTGGAGCAGGTGAACTGCAGGGTTTCTTTTGTCTCCACATTTTCAGGATTCTAGAGAGATGGAGCGCGGAGTGACGAGTAACATGTAGGTCTTTGTGGGGACTTTCCCCTTTGGGGTTGTTTCCCTGTAATGTTTGCTCATGGACGTTTTGGGTGCGTCATCTCTGTGGGTTGGAAGGAGACCTTCTAGCACGGCTTTATGATGATCTGTGAAGGGAGAATCAGAATTTCTAAAGAAGGAAGTGGTGGGTTGTCAGTGAGGTTGGGAAGCTGATGGCGCTGAGGGGCCGTCGTTCACTGCATTCACGGAGGGGCAACTCTACTTGGCTGTCAAAGGGTGGCTTGGGACCCAGGGGGCCTAGCTTGGGAGATTGGAGTTGGTGGGATGGGAGGTGGGGAATGGGAATGCCAGATGTGCCCCAACATCTGGGCCCAGAGAGCCCTGTCTGCCTGGAGGAAGTGCTTAGCATTCTCTCTGTGTTCCCCCAAACGCATGACTCTGGAGAGATATATAGGGCTTGGGGAGGAAGCGTGCGGGGCTCAGGCCCAGGTCCGTGGACTTTGAGGAATGATGCTTCCTTTCATTCTCGTCATTGCTTAAAGCTCTCCTTCTGTTCAGGCTCCATGCTCATTTCTCTCATCTGGCTCTATGATTATCCCACTGGTGGAAGAAAAGATTAAGGCCCAGAGAGGTGATGCCCCTTTCTGAGGTCACACGAGTGAGAAGGGGCATGGCTGGGACTCGTTCCAGATGGCCATCTCCAGAGCGTGCTCCTGTGTCTCCTGCCCTGCTGTGCAGGCTTCTCCTGTAGAGCCTGCCAGCCTGCCTGTGGCTTGGGTATCAGCATGCACCCCCGCCCTCCTCCATCCAGGTCCCCTCAGCCCGGATCCTCCAATCTGTGCGAGAAACCAACTGTTGACAACATTGAATCTCGCCTGGAGATCGATAGTGATAATTTGTGGCCTCACCAAGGTGGGGAGAGCTATTATTCAAAGTACATATAAAGTCAGGAACGTAAGATAGAAGGCAGTGTGACCAAGGGCATGGCGCCTGTGGAGCAGAGGGACATGGTGCGGATGGACAGGCCAGGGGACCCAGACCTGTGGAAAGCAGTTACTCAGCACTTCCCACCTACCCGCTATACCCTAGGACCGGGGCCTGCTGGTTTTTGAGGAACCAGATGGAAGAATGTGGGAAGTGTGGGTTTATGGGGAGGATGTATTCCCTGAGGAGACAAGAAAGATGAGGGATGAGAGAGAGAATCCAGGAAGAAATGGAAGAAGGGGAGTGAAGATGGGAGGGTAAGGGTGGAAAAGGGCAGAGAGAAGAGGTGATAAGGGTGCCCCTGACTGCACTGAGCTCCCATTATGGGATGGCTGCTGTGCTAAACACCCTTGTGTGTTACCTCCCGTCCTTCGGAAGATATGATAATGCAGGCTCATTTATTCCCATTCTACAGGTCAGAACACAGATTCAAGTGAGTTTCCCCGAACTGGAGAACTAGCCAGTAACCAAAGCTGTGATTCAAATCCGAGATCAAGTCACCCGGGGAGAGATTTGTGTATTTCCCCACTTAGCCCATTTGAGCTGCTGTCAGAGAATGCCTGAGACTGAGTAATTTACACACAAAACTTTGTTACTCACAGCTCTGGAGGCTGGGAGGTGCAAAGTCAAGATGCTGGCAGGCTTGGAGATTCCGATTGCAGGGATGGGGCCTGGAATGCTGCATCCTCCAAAGGCGAGGAGGAAAACACTTTATCTTCACATGGCAGAAGGCAAAAAAGAGGCAAAAGGGGGCCAAACTCGTCCTTTATAATGGCATCAATCCCACTCCTGAGGGTTCTGCCATTCACCTCCTAGAGATTCCGTCTCTCACTACCATTCCAATAGCAGTTAAATTTCAACAGGAGTTTTGGAGGAGACACACATTCAAACCATAGCGCCGCTGGAAGTTTTTCTCGTAGGGTGTGTTTGAAGTGACCCGGGTTCAAGTTCCACCCCTGCCTTGTTTGCACTCACTGGGCAGGAATGGAGCCAATGAGGCTCTCAATGGGGCCAGTGAAGCCAGTCCCTGGGAGGTGGCCCCCTGCCTCTTGTGTGCTAGGTAACCTTGGACCTGTTCCGTCACCCATGTAAGCCTTCTGTTCTTCGTCTGACAGTTAAGACATGGGATCGTTTCCAGATGAGAATCCACGAGGCCTCATTGACTTGGCGCAGTCCTTCTGGGATTGTTAAGCAGATGACTTCCATCGGTACTGAGCCAGGAGTTGAGGTAGGAGTCACCATTGCAGGTGTTTAAGTCAACTATTTTAATACATTGATTACCAGATGTAAAAAAAAAAAAAAAATAGTATCAAGATAAACCTTCACCAGGTAGTCATGAGGATGGAGTCAGCTGATCCTCGGGAAGGCGGTGTCTACATTTTAAAGTGCTGTGCTTGTGCAAGGGTTTCTAGAACCTGGGTTTTCACCAGGCTCCCCCAGGGACAAGATCAAGCCCGTGACACGTTACCCTGCAGGTAGCAGTGCTGTACCTGGAGCCGGCTTCCCATTTCCACCAGCCGGAGTTGCTACTCACTGTAGCAAGCATGTGCTTCTTTCCACTGTGGGAGCCTCTGGTGTCCGCTGCTGGGCCCCTGTTCTTATGCCGAGTCATCCCAGACCTGCTTTCTGCCCTCCTGGGTCTGCAGGCCTGCATGGGTCCCCTAGGTTGCCTTTTCAACATTGTGTGTTTTTTTTTTTTTTTTTTTGAGACGGAGTTTCACTCTTGTTACCCAGGCTGGAGTGCAATGGTGCGATCTCAGCTCACCGCAACCTCCGCCTCCTAGGTTCAGGCAATTCTCCTGCCTCAGCCTCCTGAGTAGCTGGGATTACAGGCACGCGCCACCGTGCCCAGCTAATTTTTTGTAGTTTTAGTAGAGATGGGGTTTCACCGTGTTGACCAGGATGGTCTCGATCTCTTGACCTCGTGATCCACCCGCCTCGGCCTCCCAAAGTGCTGGGATTACAGGCTTGAGCCACCGCGCCCGGCCCGTTGTGTGATTTTTATACTTACCGTTCTCGATATAGTTAATTCTGCATGAGACTGTAGGGCCGCATCTCCCAGCTGTTGTACATCTTCTAAATAGGTGGCCATGGTAAAGAGCTTATATGGTTCCTTCACTCACTCACCATTAACTGATTCATTTATTTATCTCTATGGTTATATGTACATCTGTCCATCCAGTGGCTATCTTATTTATTCCAACAATATTCAAGACTTTACTCAGCATGGACTACGCACAGTTGCTGAAAATATAAAAACAATAACTGCCTTTTTCTTTTGAGTCAGGGTCTCTGTCACCCAGGCTGGAGTGCAGTGGTGCAATTATGGCTTACTGCAGGCTGGAACCCCCAGGCTCAAGCAAGCTCCCGCCTCAGCCTCCCAAGTAGTCAGGATTAGGGACAGATCTCTGTACTCGGCTATTCATTTTTTTGTCTTTTGTAGAGACAGGGTCTTTCTTTGTTGTCCAGAATTGTCTTGAATACCTAACCACCATTTTTAAAATGCAGTAAAATACATATAACAGGAATGTCACCTTTTTAACCATCTTTAAGCGTACAGTATAGTGGCTTCAATTACATACACAATGTTGTGCAAACCTCACCACTGTCTATTTCCAAATTTCTTCTTCACCCCAAACAGAAACTCTGTACCCATTAAGCAATAATTCCCCATCTCTCCTTACCCTGTAGTCCCCGGTAACCTCTAATTTACATTCCATCTCTGGAAATTTGGCTATTCTAGATATTTCATGTAAGTGGAATCATACAGTATTTATCTTTTGTGTCTGGCTTATTTCATTTAGCATAATATTTTCAAGGTTCAACCATGAGGTAGCATGTGCCAGGACATCATTCTTTTTATATCATATGGATATACCATACTTTACTTACCCATTTATCTGTCAGTAGACACTTGGGTCGTTTCCACCTTTTAGCTTTTATGCATAATACTGCTATGAACATTTGTGTACAAGTATCTGTTTGAGTGACTGTTTCCAGCTCTTTTGTGTATATACCTAGAAGTGGACATTCTGGGTCATAGCGTAAATCTATGTTGAAATTTTCAGAGAACCAATAGCTGCCATTTGTCAGCGCTTACGGTGAGTCAGACACTGAGTTTTATGCTTCATTCACAATGTAATCTAATCCTGTGATAGCCCCTCAAGGAACTTACCATCATCCCTCAGATGGAAACACTGAGTTGAAGAGAGTGTATCAGTCAGCTATTGCTGAGTAACAAACCACCCCCAAATCCAGTGGTTCACAGCAGTCATCACTTACTCTTGCTCACATATTTGCAGGTTGGCTCATGGCTGGTTTATCAAGGCTGACTTCCGCATGAGAAACTCAGCTGTGAGAGGTCAGCTCCACATGCTTCTGAGCCTTCTGAGAGCAGAAGGCTGGCCTGAGAACATTCTTTTTAAGGCAGGAGTGCAGGAGAATGGACCAAAGCCTGGCAGACATCTTTTGAAACAGGCATCCTCTTACTTCCTCCTCATTCTATTGTCTAAAGCAAGTCTTATGCCCAAACCCAAAGTCAGAGGGCAGGGAAATACACTCTGCTCCTTGAGTGGGATAAATTGCAAAGTCACATGGCAAAGAACACAGGCAAAGGAGGGAATAAAGAGCCGAGGCCAATAATGTGATCTAACACAGGGACATTCATGATTCTCCTAAGGTCAGAATGTGTGTGGGGTAGGGCCAGAATTCAACATGAAGTTACAGGGTGGTTATTTGTGTATGGAAAATGGCCGGGGATGGAGAGGGTGGAAGAACATTTTCCTAGGGGCTGATCTTTCTGTGGAATCTTGAAAGTTGGGAGAAGGGAAGGAAAAGGTGTGCTGGGCTGAGGGAGCAGAGGGACAAAGGCCTGAAGGTTCATAAGGTGACGGTGAGCTCAGGGGTTTACCTGCAGTTCGGTAAGATTGGAACAGAATTTCCAGGGGCGGTGCGAGGGTGTGGAAGTGTGAGAAGTGTCAGTAGTTCTGAAGGGTCGTAGAAAGGGGTATCCAGAAGATAACTTCAGATCTTTGTACCAATGAGAAAACAGAGGTTCCGAAGGGTGAGGGATGAGCCAACTGCCTCAAGGAGACTGCTGAGTACGTGGACTTGTGCCCCGTCTCCTAGAGGAGAAGCCCTTTGGATGACCTGTTAATAGTATGAGAGGTGTGTGTGTTAGTGCATTTTGCATTGCTATAAAGGAATACCCAAGGCCGGGTAATTTATAAATAAAAGAGGTTTATTTTGGCTTACAGTTCTGCAGGCTATACAGGAGGACTGGCGCCAGCATCTGCCCCTGGGGAGGGCCTCAGGAAGCTTCCAGTCATGGCAGAGGGAGAAAGGGGAGCAGGCATGTCACAAGATGGAGCAAGAGAGAGTTGGAAGGAGGTGCCAGGCTCTTTTAAAACAACCAGAATTTGTGGTAACTCATGACCATGGGGAGGGCACCAAGCCATTCACGAGGCTTCCACCCCCATGACCCAAAAACACCTTCCACCAGCCCCACCTCCACCATTGGGGATTACATTTCAACATGAGGTTTTCAGGGGACAAATATCCAAACTATATCAAGGTGCATGATGCATACCAAGGGAGACAATGCTCAAGGAGGGATGGCTTGGGCACTTGCTGGGCATGGGCTGGAGGATTTGGAGGCCCAGATGGGAGAACAAAAGGAAGAACTTGAGATTGAGTGTCTTAGTTCAGTTTCTGTTGCTATAACAGAATACCCGAAACTGAGCAATTTGTAAAGAACAGAAATGTATCCTTTTACAGTTCTGGAGGCTGGAAAGTCCAAGATCAATATGCTGGTACCTGGCGTGGCCTTTCTTACTGCATCTTCACATGGCAGAAGGTGGAAGGGCAAGGGAGGGGTGAACTCTGTGTCCTCACATGGCACAAGAGCAGAAGAGAGTAAATCCACTCTTGTAAACCCTTTTTATAATGACATTAATCTATTCATGAGGATAGAGCCCCACCTCCCAAAACTGCTGCACTCGGGATTAAGTTTCAACATGATTTTGGAGAAGACAAAACATTCACATCACAGCAGTGAGTGTGGGACGCAAGCCAGGTATGTCCCTCACTTTGTTAGGGGCCTGGCCAGACCAGCTTTGGCTACAAATTCCCCACTGCAAAACATGAGCTCTCAAACGGAAAAGAAATGAAGATACATATATTTTATTGTGTTTTAGGTTTTGGGGTTAAAAAAAAATGAAGATGGCTCCTCCCTTGTCACATGCAACAGAAAAGTGGCTTTGTTTTGTCTGGGAAGAGCACAGAGCCACTGAAGGATTTTCAGCAATGCAGGGATGGAGGTGGGTTTTGAAGGTCACTTTGGGACTGGAGCATGAGGCAGCAATACAGCAGAATGTCACCAAGTGGGGTCCAAGCTGATTCCATTGGCTTATTAGTGAAGGGCTCTAATCCTGCCAGGGGCTGGTGCCACAGAGTTGTGTCACATGTGGCAAAGGACATGCTCCCTGAGCCAAGCTCTGGGCCCTGCAAGTTCAGTGCTTAGGGTCAATCACTCATCCCACAAATGTTTACTGAGCACCTACTATGTACCAGGCAGTGGGCTAGAACTCGAGGTGGACATAGCCATAAACAAAGAGGCAAACAAATCTATTCCATCATGGGGCTTGCAGCTCCCTTGACTGCCGGCCCATTCTGTCTCAGGCTATACTTGGCACACGGTGCAAGGAGAGGGTTACCAGACCACCAGGTCTCCTGTCATCATCCTGGCCTTGAATATCAGGACCCAAAGGGACCTTTATTTTTATTTTTTAATTTATTTTTTTTTGAGACAGAGTCTTGCTCTGTCTCCCAGGCGGGAGCACAGAGGCATCATCTTAGCTCACGGCAACTTCTGCCTCCCGGGTTCAAGCCATTCTCCTGCCTCAGCCTCCTGAGTAGCTGGGTCTACAGGCACACGCCACCACCATGTCCAGGTAATTTTTGTGTTTTTATAGAGACAGGGTTTATAGAGACAGAGGGTGATAAAAACAAGAAAAAAGCAAGTCCTCTTTTTCCAGGAGCTACATCCCAGGAATGGAGACCAACATGTGAAGAAATCTTTACAGTACTGTGTGATATGTGTTCTAGGAGAGTGTGTCCCACAGTCCCGTAGGAGTTCAGGGGAAGGAGTGGCTGAAGTGGGGAAAGGCTCCTAGAGGAGGCGACACTGGAGCTGGGTTTTGAATGCTGATGGTGTAATTCAAGCAGACG